TGGTTCTTCGCCGAATAATAATTTTCGAATTGCCTTCTATACCAGTTCTAACTATTCAGAAACAGATCAATATTTTCTTTTGGTGTGTCATCTGCAAGTCCTGTTATCAATAAACATTGTTTGTCCCTTGGTAGTTTCTTTCTTTTACTCTTTTTTGAGGTCTTTCACTGTCAGGGTGATATTATCTAGAGTGTGTTGACGTTGTAGTACTTCCATTTTAGCTAAAAGACATGGAAAACCAAAGAAAAGTCCCGTGTATTAAAAATTAATTAATTCCAGAGCACCTCCACTACAAATTAAATTTAAATTGTGAGATACCAGAAATAGGCTAATGATTTGATAATCAATGTGCATTTTTCAACATTAAACTAATCATGTCTGTGGATTACCCCAAAATGAACCAAAATAAATATTATGCAAATTAAGAAATTGTTATGCATAGATTTCAGAGGGGCGGACGCCCACCCGAAAAAAACGCCCCTCAATCAAGCTGAAACCCTTTTTTGCGCCTCAAAATGCAGTAAATAGCGTTTCAGAAAGTCTAAAATTCAGATCTCATGTTAAATTGTTCGTGCCGCCGCCTCTCCAATGGGCAATCCTGAAAAAAATGATGGAAAGCCTTAAATTAATATGAAAATTAGGTAGTTATTATGCTAAAAACAAATTAGGTCGTTGCTTTCATTGTCTTAAAGAATTTATGTACCAAGACTCATTGATATATTGATGGAAAAGCTGAAAAAATGATTAATCAGTATGCAAAGTAGGTGCACAGATGTTTACCGCAGATTTATCAGCACTTGAGATATCAGTTGAAAAGCAATAAAATTGACTAATCGTTGTGCAAATTATATAGGTAAAATCATCATGCAAATTAATTAGGTTTTCAACCAAAAACTATTCAAATCTGCACATTAGCCTCGTGCACCTATGCATCAAGTTTCAACACGCACACAGATACAGACATACAAAAGCACTAACTGCAGACTCTCTTTATGTGCCTTGTACATGGGATTCAACAAATAAATGTCAATGACAATTTCCTGTCTAGTTTTAGGTTGTAGTGACTGTAAACATCAGTCCCAAATAATTATTTACACTCATGTGACAGACATGACGCAACGTGCGATTCCTTTCATTGCAGTGCCCATGACATCCATTATGCATTTCTAGCACATGATGATCCCCCCCGGGGGGCACCCTATATGCCGTTACTACCCCATGTGTGTTCCAAATTTAGCAGAGGGGGGGGTCACCTTCTAAAGCGGGCCCACGCGGGAGGCAAATAGGCCTTTTTAAATGCTAATGTTTGCAATAGGTCCCCAGGATTAACCTCACGGGGTTGCTGCGCTCGCTGTAAGCTTGCAGCAACCACTCCAATACACCTCTCCAGGCCCCGAATTGGCAGACCATAGCCCCGACCAGGCTCCAAACGCCCGCCCGAACTTACCCACTGGGCACTTTCCCGCCACTTCAAATACGAGCATTCGGAAAGTCATCCCCGGAGTCATCCACACTTCGCGCCTCGGCCTCATTTGCACAGATCGATAAGATGGCTCCCGATTCGAGAGGTATCAATCGCGGCTCTTGCCAAATTTGTCCGGATTACGACGATTTCGTTTTTGATTTCGTCTTTTAGCTCCTGCTTTCTTAAGTTTAGGATTTGCAACACAGCAACCATAAGTAGCTTGTTTGAGTTGATCACACTCCACTTGAATGCAAACAAACGGCAGAAATTGCTCGCAATAGAGACTGAGATGTTCTCAATATTGGGGGTACTAAATTTACATTGCGTCCGCAATAGGTGGTATGGTTTGCCAATGTGCTGCCAGCCCTAGGGGTTAGAAGCCTATTATTTTTTAGCAAGAATGCACGTGGTGTAAGGAGTGACCCCCGGGGATCTACCATCTTGAATAAGATGTTGAAACATGCATGAGTTACATGTAAAGTTCGACATGTGTGCAATATGAATCTAAAACAAGCATTTTTTAAAAACAAAATTTTCACCAGTTGGCCATTCTGAATCAAATTAGGGGGAAAATAACTTGCATCAAGGACTTATTAGGCTCAATGGGCATACCAAGTTTGAATGAAATATGTACATGCACTATATATCGAGAAACAAATGGTGTGTCACGTATGATATGGCGTGTCAGGCATCTCGAGGTTTAGATGGATGGACAGAGTCACCGGTTTTGGATTATGTTTGAACAACGTTCATTTGTGTAAATATGATTCTGGCAAAATTACTGAGGTCACATGAAAAGGGTAGTCATGCCTTTTGTCTGATACCTCGAATTTTGCACTGGCTGCACACTTCTCGCCACAACATGAGATGTATATTAATAAGATTACAAGATCAAACATAATCGTATCATATGATACATAGTCACAGCTCTTGTTCAATGCCTTTATTATAACATCGGTTGTACATGCCTATCTGCAATAGTTAAATAGGTAAGGCACCTGCATTATAATTAGGTCGTATGACCATAATTGGTCATCTGATATATTAGTCACATCTGTTGTCCATGTTAATTATAGCAAAATTAACAAAAGCGTTAGATATTTCACAGTTACTCCTCTCATCCGACACCTTCAACTATGCAATTAATTAAATTTCGCTGAAACAAAATTGATCAAAAAGTGTTACAGAAATTGCTAAGTACACTTCATGATAAAATAAACAAGGCTGCCTGGCAGTCGATCATTATGAACTAAATCACAAAACGAAAGATGTTGAATTCTTGTTTTTTAGACCTAAATGGCAGGCGGTCAGTCATAGTGAACAAAACAAAAAAATGTGCACTTGCGTAACATTATGCCGATGAACGTAATGTCGCAAACAACATGCAGAATATAATTTCTCACACAAATAAAACCTCTGCCATACAGTGAAGAACACTTGGGTGCAATTGATACGAAAATATAAACACGAAACGCAAGATTCGAATTCCGCATCGTCACTGTCTGTGGACACACTCTTCGTCACACTACGATACATTGTTCCAAGAATTATAGCTTGGTTTTTGGACAATCATGTCGGACATAGGTATACAGAACAAAATACAAATCGACGTGCATATGTATTTCATCATCTGAGTAATTTTTGTACTGTATTTATACAAGCATGTTTGTGAAAATACATTGGACGGATGCACCGACAGACATCATTGGGTGTTACTCGAAATCACCCACTGACCCATTACATTTGTTTGTAATACAAATTATCATTATTTGAACACATCCAGTAGTTATATTACCTTCATAGCTTTCAAAGGTTAGAGTCATTTTTTCTGGATTATCTTTGTCAATGCTAATTAAACTTCCTCCGCCTGATCTTCTCTTGCTTTCAAAGTAAAGTTCCAACAATTCGATACTTGTGTCGGATTTGAATCCTGTAACTTCTAGTCTACAGTCTTCAAAGAGATCTTCATCACTCGATACATCTTATAATTCATGAATTAAAAAAAATAACTTGAGCATAGGTCACTTACGCTGGTATTTAGGTCACAATATGTTTACCAAAAGGTTGTCGTGAATAGTGTGCTTACCAAGAAATGAGAATGTGTACTAGTCCAGTTAATGTGAGAGTTATTTTGCAGTTTGAAAGGCTATAAATTGGTTGTAAGGGAGTAGTAATAGGAATAGTACTATTCAATCATCTTCAACAACAGTCGACTAAAAAAAGAATTTCATCCATTGTTAGAACTAATATAAATCTACCTTGAAAACTGTCAATATCTTTCATTTTTGCTTTTCGCACCTGTACTCTTTTGCTGTTAATAACATGTTTGGGGTTTTCCAAAACTCTTACCATAACTGAAATGAAATTTATAAATAAATAAATAAATAAAGCTGATGGTTCATGATAACGTATTGAATTTTCTGTGATTTGTTTGATGCACCAGACAAACTAGTTACCACAAGCCTTGTAGCAGAGATTTTACTCAATTTATTTCTTGGTTTTGTAGTTTATAAACATACCACAAACTACGTCTATGCATAAGATACATGTCACGTTAAGACTTTCAACGACACAACAGACATTTTTCACGACAAGCAAATCGCAAATCCAGGCACTACGAATTTAGAAATTTAGCTGTGTAAGAATATAACAAAAATACCGATCGTTCGTAGACAAAATTTGGAACTCGATCACAAGATGACGACAGCGGCAGGAAAAAATATGTTGAGCGTAGTACAGCTGTCGACAAAGTGCCTGGAGTAGAGCGGTCCGCGGATAATTATTATAGAAAACCATACCGGGGCTGGGCGCACGATAACAAACATTTAATAACTTGTCAAGGTAAACAAAATAGTTTCATATTTTACAATGCTAATGAATATTGCAGTAATAAAAAGGTGCGTCATCTTATCGAGATCTGGGTCAAAGGTTTAACATGCTCTAATATAATGATAATATAATGAAACGCGAATTTCGAATATGGTTATGGTGCTAAAATAAATTTAATATAATCTGAATTAAAATAAATTCTACTTAATCATACATATGTCCAATGTTTAAAAGATTGAAGATTGAAGCTTAAATATCGGGAACTAATTTATACTGACCATCTTGGTTTTCAAAGGTAACAAAAAACTTGTAACCTTTCTGTCTACATTCTGTGACACCACCACCTCTAGACCGGCGTTCGTTGTCAAAATACAATTCTACAGTTTCCGTCTTAGTATCCGGATCACAACCAGACACCTCTATCGTATAATTAGTGTCAACAGGCATTTCTGAAAAAGAAAAGAACATGCTCATAACTTATCAGCTTAGCATTTCATAAGGAATTCGGTTTTTATACACGCTTCTCGAGGCCGACTAAGAAGATCGTCGACGTAAGTCGGTATTTTTAAAGTAATGAACAGATGTTGGAGTCCGTATTCGGCTTTTACTGTACAATAAGGAGGTTATGTACAAATATATTTTTAGTAAGGTGTCGGGATTCCAGAGGGTGTAGAGCAGCTTTTATTATATCGGTTATGTTTAGAAAACAAGCGGGAAATAGTAAATTAACCTCGAGCTTTTCCACCAGTTTGCAGTCGTCTAGATTTTGTATCTGGTTTTGCTTTTCGCACCATCAACTTTCTTCTGTTAACAACATGAGTTGTATTTTCCAAAACTCTCATTAAAGCTGCAAAAAATAATAAATTTCAAATGAACATATGTGAGTAAAAGTTTCAAAAACACATCACCATGAGCCGAAGTATGTATTGTTGTGAATAAAAAAGCGGCAATCCGACCATTTTAATTTAGAATCGTTATAATTAATGTATTTTCCTATTCTGTAAAACTATTTTCAAACAGTAGCAACTAGGTCTTGTCGCATTCAATGAAGATTGTTCTTATATACGTTGATAGATGTTAATAACAGATACTATATAGCATAGTTTACATACACCATTAAACAAAAGAAATGTATTTGTACTCACCTTTTTTGTTTTCAAATGTCACAAAAAACTTGTCACCTTCCTGTCGACATTCATTGACGTGACCACCTCCAGAACGACGTTTGTTGTCAAAATACAATTCTATTGTTTCTGATTCTGTGTCCGAGTCACAACCAGACACTTCTATAGTATAATTACTATCATCAAATTGTTCTGGAATAAGACGTGTAAAACTTTATATAAAACATGAATCGCTTCATATTGCATTATGCCAATCACAGTTACCTATGGACACACTATTGATCATTTTACATTGGTGCACACTCGATTGGTTTCTGTTTTATTATAATTATGTTTATATTTACTCATCGCAATGATTCAATTGCTATTCAAATCTGAAAATTGATTCAAACCAAGAAATGTGTTTCATATCGTTTGATGAGTATTTGTATTACTGCA